TTCATGTCTCAATGTTCGGGCCAAATAATTGTTAGAAAACTGGAAATAATCACAAGAATCCTTCCATTGCAACAATACAATATAACTCTCAAAGAGCGCATCGCAATGATAATTTAAAAAGCGTGATTTTGCCGGCTTTCAATGAAGCCTTTGTATGTTTATTTATCTGTTTTCGTTTGTTATATTATTAGTTATAGACAAATTCGTGGTTAAATAAGAAGGAACGTGGGCATATTTTCTACAATGAACACCGAAAGCAAACGAGAAAAAAGTGAATTGATACTCTTTTTCTGATTTTCTCGATTCGACTCTTGTTTATAGAAATCGTTTTGCTTTCTGTCGACCTCCTTTATTTTTGTGTTTATTCTGTTGTGTGCTTGCTGCTCTCATAACTGGCACATTGATTGTTGCACTTGTGTTGATCTTTACAAGTTCAACAACAACGTTAAAAACAAGTGAGTACATTCACTTCTTGCTACCTTCACCCAGCTTTGGTTTCTTTTATTCCAAAACTTTTTTATGTGCAATAGGTTCGAATAAGAAACAATAATTACTTCTTATCTAAATCACAAATTCTATTTCTTTGGTTTTGCATATTTTGATCATAAAAGAAAGTTCGATGAATGTGCTTCAGTGATTGTAATACAATTTTTAATACGAGTTTTTAATTTGCATAGCTATCGCATATACGATGAAATAGTTTTAAAAGAGCAACACTTTTTTGTAATTCTACCTTTGATTGGAATTGTTTGATACGATATCAATATTTGATATTTAAAATATAATTTATACGTAGCATTATCAACTACTCAAGCAACTACAAACATTACTACGACGATAACGACATCAAGTATGAATCAAATCTTCTTTTTCTATTTGTATATGATATTTTAATTTTAAATAGCAACGACGATAACCACAACTAACACAACACAAATGACAACATTAAATGTGTCAAGTAAGTGTACATATACATGATAAATATAAACAATTTTGACTCCAATTGTTTCTACGTGAAACAGCAACGTCAACTGGTACTATTTGTTCAACAACAGCCATCATTACAATGATTACTTTGACTTCTCTACCGCCTCAATGTTCAAACTATACGCTGAATACAGATGGAACTCGTAATGCTGCTTATACAACTCTTGGTAATACTTGTGATGATCATATATTTACTTCCTCTCCAATGTGGGTTCGCTTTTCTGGTGCAGCAGGCACTCTATTAGCCAATTGTCCTGTTCCAGCTAGCAATTGTAATACCAATTCACCCGGATGGTATAGCGGGGTATATCCCTCGATAGCGGGTGATACGACAAATGGAACTGTCTGCTACACATGGCCGGGAAATACATGCATATACTCGAACTCGATTGAGGTTACGAATTGTAATGGTTACTATGTTTTTGCGCTTACAGCTTCATTTAGATGTAGTATACGATATTGCACCATTTGATTCTTTACATTTTATTATAGAGATTGACTATACTAATCTCTCTTTTTCTGTATAACAATCAAGTTTTTATTTTCAGTACAGGTTAAAAGGTCAGTAATTGATTTGAGGAAGATTTGATTATTTGCAAAGTAGACCATAATGCTTTCTTTATAGAAAAACGAGTAAAGATTCTTCTTCACATTTCGATAATATGATCAAACTTGATCCGAGATCTCTCAAAAAAGGTTTGAGATTTCTAAAATAAATTAAATAGTTACTAAAATTGTTTACGAACGTTTTCGACGAGTTGTTCAAGATATTTTGAGTTCTATCCCAGTAAATTGATGAGACGCTTGCGAGTCTTTTGGACCATATCACACCACATCATTGATAACGCTCCAAAACGATTTTCACGCACAGCAATGGCAATGATCGAGACGAGAACTTGCTGAGCAATTTGACTCTTTCCGCAACAACGAATTACAAGAAAATATTTGATCTGTTTCTTGTCGAAGATTATGCTGTTTGACCTGCATTATTGACTGCTGCTGCTGCTCTGTTTGTCGAAACAGCTTGTGTCCCTTGTCGACACCTACTGTATGTTGAAAGTAATTTTCTAAAGAACTTATTTCTTAATGATTTTGACGAGCTGAGATAAACATAGAAACTAATGCTGAAATTTAAATAAAACAGTAAACTAGTCATTGTTATAGAAAGATTTTCTTGTGCTGCTCTTAAAGAATCCTTTTGTATTTGATTCGTTATTGCAGTGTACAGACTGTTTATTGTATAAGGTGTTGTTGATAGACTAATCGAACAAATTTGTAATAGTAACATTCGTGTTAATCGAGATTCCTGACGTTGATTTGTAGGTAAATATTGTTGTTCAGGTCCGACGCGTCGTTGATGAATTTGGTGAATATTTCTCCATGTCAACCATCCAAATATAACAAAAATTGCTAATGGTAATATATTGTAGAGAATTAAAATGATAAAATAATTTAGATAGTATCCATAGACTGTCGATCGATTAACACAAACAGTTTGATTTCCTGCAGCTGGATAAATGTTAACCATTATCACGATGGGCAAACCGTGTAAAGACCAGAAAACAACCGTTGCGGTACACAGCAGTCGTGCTGTTGACATTTTACTCATCTGTCGAAAACGAGTTTCTCGACAGCTAATTAAATATCGATCAATGGTTGCCAAACTGACATATGTCAACGATGCTAATATGAAAACGTGACCTAAATATTGTCGTGCTTTACAGAGAAATAGGTTTGTTTTCGTTAAATCATATTGTAAACCAATTAATATACGTAATGAAAGTGGAGTAACAATTACAAATAAACTTGAAATTGATCCAGCAAGTAAATACAATTGGCATGGACTAAATGGAAATAATTTTCTCGATGAAAACATGAGAATATTGAAAGAATTTCCAATAAGACCAAAGATAAAGACTGGAACGCCAAAATAAATTGTAAACTGTTGAGATATCAATGTTAGCGATGCAACAGAGGACATTCTTTGTTCTCTTGAGACTGAATTTTAAACGACGTTTTTCATGTATATATTTTATTATTTGAAATCCATAGATCATTTTTCTATAGTACTCTTTTTTTATTAAAAAAAAAGAAAGATAATCTCATAAGCAGTGGTAATTAAAACAGCTAATTAGAGATTGCATTTGACGTCAGAAACAAATATTATAATTCATGCATGTTTTCTTCATCATCTAATGCGTTTTATTAAAAATAATCAAATGAATTGTTCTTTTTAAGCTGTAAAGGTTTTCACGCTACATCTTCCCCCTAAGAGAATTGTCAGATTATAGTAGATTATGTCAGATTATAACTGAATTTTTCTGCAAGAAAATTCAGATTATAATTTCTTGAAGTCAGTATATCTATTACTAAAATCATATGAAATCAAAAATATATGATTTATAAATGGATGGTAAATGATTTTAATCAAAATATATACTGAATTCAGGAAATTATTTTGGATTAAAAATCAAATTATCGTTTCTTTTGTGAATGCTAGTTTAATTTAGTCTTGCTTTTGTTGCAGAAAAATCCGATTGTAATCTGAATAATCTGACGTTTTTTACTAGAGTTGTTCTTGAATTTTATTTTTAATAAAACACATGAACGATAATATGCACAATTTCTGCCAGTTGGAGTTTAAAAAAAGAAACATTTTCTCGAAATTTTATTATTAAAATACCATTTGAATAGCTATCTAATAATTAGCATAGAAAAATTGAACTAACGTCACTCTATCTCTTCATAAAAATAATTACTTCTACTATTATTTTTATATTGCCCGAAGTAAAAATGTGAAAGAAGTCGGCAGCGGATTCAACTATTTCCTACTAACATTCGCTTGGTTACTTTGGGTAGGTTTGATTCTTCTGGAATAGATAGAGTTCATCATTGTGCGTCGAATGGCATAGGTTGAGAGAGGAAGATCATCGATCAAAAACGAAGATTTTTGCCCAAAATATTCAGTGAACTAATCTTATTATCCAGCAATAATTTCACTACTTTCGCACTGGGGCAGTTGAATCACTTGTCACACAATTCAACGAAATTATTGATTTCTTTTCTTCGAGAATGGTTTTAATATAAATTTTAGTATGGATATTTCTAATCTTTAGCTATCTCTTTCCCATTGTTCGGACATTAACTATGTTTGATAAGACGTAAAGGTTAGGATAAACTTTGGTGATGAATAGATATTTACTTCATTGTGTAAGCTTCTTCTTCGTTTATATCCGTGCGCTCACCTCCTCCGTCGAGCAAGTGCGTCACTCATGGAGCAGAAGTGTGGGAAATAAAGAAAGAGAAATAGTTAACAACCATGGATATGTCCCATGTAAATAAAGATGTGTATCAAACGAGAACAATACCAGATGAGCTGAAGCTAGGGGTGTCACTTTTGCGTTCCGTTCCAAAGAACGGGAACGGAGTCTGCGTTCCCGTTCTAGGAACGGGGAACGCTGCAAAATATACCTCTTCCGGTTGTTTATTAGCCACCAGAAGAATGAAATGCGANGCTTTTAATATAAATTTTAATATAGATATTTCTAATATTTAGCTATCTTTTTTCCATTGTTCGGACTTTAACTATGTTTGATAAGACGTAAACGTTACGATGAACTTTGGTGATGAATAGCTATTTACTTCATTGTGTAAGCTTCTTCTTCGTTTATATCCATGCGCTCACCTCCTCCATCGAGCAAGTAGGTCACTCATGGAGCAGAAGTGTGGGAAATAAAGAAAGAGAAATAGTTAACAACCATGGATATGTCTCATGTAAAGATGTCTGTCAAACGAGAGCAGTACCAGATGAGCTGAAGCACATGTATATCTTGTTACTGTGAAAGATTTCCAGAATTCAAAGAATTAATATGCAATATGTTGTACAAGAGACAGACTTATTCAATTATTAGTCTGCAAGAAGATTTCAGGTAAGAGTTGCGTTGCTTACTTATTTATTAACAGAAAAGATATTTACGATAAATTAAGAATATTATTTTAATGCTGCTTTTGATGGTTAGTCTGTCTGCTTTCAAATCGTCTAGAATAGTTCTAAAGAAATTTTTAATTATTGACTGATGTGTAGAGAACAATTGTTTATTCATATTCCCTCGGCTGAAAGGAGAGTTATATGAAAAAGATTGTTTGTTTGTTTGTGGGTGTCTGGGTCGCGGGTCAAAGGTAAAAAGTTATTTTTTTACGAAAATGCTCAAAACTTCATGAAACATCGTTTGGGAGGGATCCTGGGGCTCAAGGTTGGCTGGGGAGAGGTGAAAGGACAGGGATGTGACAGCGATGAAGAAATCATTTCATTCGCGACTGAGAGGACGACTACATACAAAAAGTTAATTACGAAAAACTAAAAACACACTTGTTTGACTGCCGGATATCAAAGGCTGGTAACCCCAAAATACAATTATTCACAAGTTATATACTGGGGAGCAATCTAAAATACTGAGCTTCGATATATTGAATGTTCTCGTACGCTTTCAAGCTTTTTAATAAGGAGATAACCTCAACTGTGAGATGCTGATGGAATGCTAATTAATATTCTATACTTTTTAGTAGCAACACGGGCGATCATATGATAGATAGGGACAGTTTTCGAGCTGCGTCTGGTAATCTAGCCAGTTACAAAAGTATAAATAATCCGGCACGTTTGGATTCGAAATCTGTACAGAGTCTCATTTGATCTTACTGAAATTATCTTTCTTTCAGAAAAAGGAGGACATGTTCAAAGGTGCAAATCCATAACAGTCATTTATGGAGAACTTCTACTTCTTGTGATCAGTGGTTGTCAGTCAGGAATACCGAATAATTAAAAGGAACACAAGTAGTCTTTTGGTTCTTTTGAAGACTGTGAGGTGAATGAAGATCAGTCTCTGGAGACCTTTTCGAATGTTATACTTCTGCCTTTTTTGCATAAAATGCACATAAGACTATTGTATTTTCAGTCAGTGGGCCACTCGAGGGTATAGCGACTCTGCCTTGACCAGCGTTACTAGTATTGTAGAAAACGAATATCAATAGTTTCTTCTAAATCTAAATATAAGTCTTATATGATAACACATGACACATGCGTTTAGT